TCCCCTGCCCCGGGGTCTGAAATGTTGAGGGTAGGGAACTTCTATGAAAAATGGCGATTGTACCATCTAAAAACTGGAGGGCTATATCTCAGAAACTAGAGATGGTACTATCATCATTTTCTCATAAAAGTTGTGAATTGAATTGAACATATTTTATTGACAAAGTCAAAAGAATCTGACACAAGTTCAGTAACTTAGATAGTCCTCTCCTAATATAACATTTTGTAAAATGGCCAAAATAAAAAAAAAAAACATATATACATATGGTCTACTACATACATTGTATACATCGTAGCAATAAATTCTTAAAATGTACAAATATATAATTTGAGATGGTAAGAGAAAAAAAGGTAAAATTATTTTGAAAAACGACCACATTCATTTAAGAGAGTTTTAATAGTCTTGAAAAGTTCAGCATTTTGTTCAATAGTAAGAGAATCATCACACCATAGCATTAAATGTACATCTATAACATGTAAATAATTAAATGACAATAGCTTATTCATTAAGGAATTTCTTGCTTTTACATAATATTTACAAACAAAAAACAAATGATGTGCATCTTCTAATAGTCCACCTACTAATAGTCCACAATAACAATTAGGACTGGCCATTAGGTTACAGCGATATAAGTCAGAATTTGAAATACAATTATGTCTTAATCTTGTATGAATTATGTTCAAAAACCTAAAAGTGGTAACTGACCCCTTGTATCCTACCCTCAAAATTTCAGACAGCGGAGCCATTAACTTCGATGTACCTAAGACTGATGTTTATTCCAAACGCAATTATTCTAAAGTTTATTTTTAATTAACATTTTTTCATTGAATATATATTGATATGCATATATAAATTGATGCAAAACAGTATACAATTGATTTTATTTACACGATACATTCATCCACATACTTATCGGAAGAGACTGAAATGTAGCAGGAAGATTATGAAGTTTGCTAAAAGACGAAAATACATCATTTGTCCATCAATTTGAATATGGAATATTGAAGAAAAAACCTAGAGATAAACTACATTAAATTACATTCAATAAAAGGGTTAAAAGACTTGTCAAAAGTGTAAAAATATTCTCTTCCACAAATCAAATTGTTTATCAAAAATGATAATTTAAAATTGTAAATTGATACACATCTCTTACGCAATATTTGTTTTTTTTTTTCACCAAACACTTGTCAATGGTGGCACAACCTATTAGTGATAGTATTTGTCGATTCTATTTTTTTTTTAATTTTGGGTAGAATAATATTATAGTTTGTAGCTGTGCTAGTTCTTAGCTCAAAAGGAAAAAAAATCACTACATATAGCAAGAGGGAATTTGTTAGGGTGGTGAATCTTTTTTATTTAGCCATTCCAGATGATTTTTGTCTTAGTTTTGTTTTTAAGTCAGGTCTAAATAACTGAAAACCCAGGGTATCAAAAGCACCAAAAAGTGATTTTGGTGAAGCATCTAGGGCGAGATGTCCGAGGTTTTGCCAGTCCTTGGCAAATCACCGATCCAATTTCCACAGAGTCAGTCATTTGTAAACAATAATTAAAACATGAAGTATCCGATATAATCACCACTTAAAAAAAATTCACACTTCAGCATACAAATGTAAACAAGAGGCCCAAGGGCCACATCGCTCACCGGAACATGTAAGCTAGGTAAAAGCAACAATCAGTTCAGTGTTGAAAAGTTTAAATATAAAAGTAGGTTCGGAAGGGGAAGGGGTATTTCAACAAAACTTAATCTATTTTTTTATGCTTCTATTTATATGATTAATCATGGCTTTGTTGTTCTTATGAAGAATTTTAATGATTTTTCCTAGTATGTATTCCTACATAAAATCTTGATCACCCATTGTGACCCCGCTCTACCTGGGGGTGGGGGTTATGATTTGAACAAACTTCAATCTACACTACCCGAGGATGCTTCAATTTAAATGTAAACAATCACATCTTTGTTGTTCTCCAGAAGAAGAATTTTAAAGATTTTTTTCTTTGTTATCCTTATTAAAGATTTGATCACCCATTATGGTCCCACACTTGCTCCGAGGTTATGATTTGAAGAACTTGAATCATTCTACATGTAAACTACCTGAGGGTACTTTTTTATAAGTTAAGCTTTACTATTCTTGAGATGATTTTTAAACATTTTTTTTATGTACTGCTATGTCAAACTTTGATACCCCACCAAACCCCCTGGGGTCATGATTTGAACAAACCTGCATTGACACTACCGGAGGATGCTGTCATATTACTCTGACCAGTAATGGCTTTGCTGTTCTTGAGAAGAGATTTTAAAATATTTTCCCTATGTATTCCTATGTTAAACTTTGAAACCCCATTGTGGCCCCATCCTACTGCTTGGGGTCATGATTTGAAAAAAAAAGTTGAATCTACAGTACCACAGGATGCTTCCATATAACCACGACCAATGAATCATGGCATTGCTGTTCTTCAGATTTTAAAAGATTTTCCCTATGTTTTCCTATGTTACACTTTGATACCCCATTGTGGCCTCACCCTACCTCTAGGGGTCATAATTTGTATAAACTTGAATCTACACTACCAGAGGATGCTTCCTTATAAGTATGACCGATGAATCATGGCATTGCTGTTCTTGAGATGATTTTTAAAGATTATTCTTATGTATTTCTTTGTTATTTTGATACACCCTTTTGGCCCCACCCTACCCCAGGGGTCATAATTTGAACAAACTTAGATCTACACTACCTGAGGATGCTTCCACTTGAGTTTCATCTTTCCTGGTCCTGATATTCTTCAGAAGAAGATTTTAAAACATTTTTCCTGTGTATTCCAATGTTAAACTTTTATCACTCATTGTGGTCCCACCATTCCCCTGGGGGTCATGATTTGAACTTGAATATACACTACCTGAGGATGCCCCCGCGTGAGTTTCGTCTTTTCTGGCCTAGATGTTCTTGAGAAGAAGCTGACGCGTCGGTTGACAATGGTTTTCCTTGGGGTGCCAATTTCAACTGTTACCCTCCAAAACAGGCACCATTTATATAATATACACTACGCCAGCATAGTCCTACGTAACTTTTAGCTTTTCTGGCCCATTGATTCTTGAGAAGGTTTTTTAAAAAGATAAAATATACATATTTCAATGTAAAACTTTATTTCCCTTTTGTGGTCCCGCCCTACCCCGGGGCATGACTTGGACTTGTTTTAATTTACACTACCCCAGGATGCTTTAACGTAAGGTACAGCTTCTCTGGCATAACGGTTTTCAAATTACCCCACCCTATTTTTGTCTTTTCTTGATTATCTCCCTTTTAGAGGAGTTGGGCCTTTCATTTAATGATTTAAACTTCCCTTAACCCATGGATGCTTTTTTAATAATTTTGGTAACAATTGGCCCAATGGTTCTTGAGAAGAAGTTAAAAATGTTAAAAGTTTACAGAAAAAGTTAACGTGCAGCAGAAGGACAGATTGAGGACAGACGATGGACAAAGGGTGATCAGAAATGCTTACTTGAGCTTTCAGCTCAGACGAGTTTAAACAACTGGAAACGATAGACCAAGTGTTTCCCAAAACAAAAGAAAAAAAAATTAAACTAAATATCAAAGCTCATGCTTAAATTACGAGGTCTGGAAATATTTAAAACAAAAACGGAATTAATTTCCGCATTGCATATATACACCAATTTTCACAAAAAGGCAATACATGCATAAGTCAGTATAACCTGAAAAAAGTGCTATGATGTAAAATATCTGAAGAGCTCTGCAAAGTAGATAAACTTGGACAATTAAAAAAGTTTATCCAAACCATCTACCGTCTTGTTTTCCTTTGTTTGGAAACGTTTTGTCGGAGATGTTTACGCACAATATTTGATATCACTATATGACAACAGCAATGTGGTTTTGATCTTGCAAAACTCCCATTAGCGCCTTCGTGGATGACATCGATATTGTCTTTGAATCGATAAATAAAAATATTATAGTTGACACATCCATACACAAGATCAACCAATTTTTTAAATAAAAGTTTCACACAGCGTAGTTGTTAACCTCAACCAAAGAAGCGCTGAATTGATTTCTCCGTCATAGTGAGTGTCAAATCTTTATAAACAGTTTCATTTGGGAAAATAAGTTTGTCTCCAATGTATACGGGGTTTGACGCTTTCTTGCAAGTACCTGTTATTTAATTCAGCAAGTTTCTTTCAAGTTTCATTAAACTGAGATGGTTATTGCTGTGTGATGCAGAAAGGTAATTCCTCTCAAGCGTCCTTCGTGGCCTTCAGCTTTTATTGTTTTTGCTCTTCTCTTATTTTGAATTGTTTTATGGCCTTTGAGATTGAATACTGTTCGTTATCTCCATATCCTTCTTAGCATCTTTATGTTCTTTCATCACGAGCCTTCTTGTAGAAGTGTGTGGCTTTCCATTAGATTTTGCATCACCAGCATTCACGTGAATATTCAAAACTGTTTCGTGTCATGGAAAAGGCTATAGCTGTTTGAAAGGGGTTTAAATTTATTCAAAAAAACTTCTACATGAGAAAAAGAATAATCTTGCTGTTTCCCTCAACTCGACGTTCAGATAAATAGATGACTTTTTATCAATAATTAACAACAGTTACTTTCATTAATATTGTGTTGATTTTGCAATTGAGTGTGATTATTCTGAAAAATTAGTATGTTTTATATATCAGTATGATTTAAAAATTTAAGTTGTTCGCTCAACGTTTTTTTTTACCTTTACCACCCTCATTAAACACTTCTTTCAAGACAAAAATGATCAATGTTTGCCATTTGGTAAATGGAAGTTAATATATCTCTAAAATAATACTTAATTTTTGAGGTTCGAAATAAATTACCAGTATTACATTTTTAGATTTTTTTAAAATAAAAAATATGTTTGCTCATTTAAAAAAAGCATGAAAAAACTTAAATTAATTATTCGATTAATTACTTTTATGGAGAAGTAAATAAACTTTGAGATTCTACACCGAATTTTGATCAGCATTTTCACTGTTCGCGCTAAAACGGAAAAAGTTTTTCAAAGAATTGCTTTCCTAGGAACTTACCCCCAAAACGAAAAGCAACATATACAAGACATTTCCCCCCAAAAGAATTTGGAATATATAACCCACCGACAAACCATGCAAATAAACCAGCCCCTACAGCAATTACAGATGAAAACATTGCCCTTCTTCTCTGTCTTCTAGTCATGGAATCATCGATTTTAATTTTGTGAATGTTGTAAAGTTCGAACGATACAAATACAATTTCCACACCAACCGCTATCGCAATGGCAACCAATGGGTTGCCTGTCTTTTCCAATAATAGAGTTCCGACGTTGGTTGATTGGTCGGACAAGTAATTCGAAGATTTATTCTGTCCCATTTTTTGTTCATCTTCTTTTGTTTTTTCGACGGACATTGAAGGTGTGTTTTCAACAGACGGTTTATCATCTGAAGTGGCAAATTTATTTGGCGGCCATTCCTCTATTGACCTCATTGAGGATCCATCACCATCGGATGCAACGTTGTTATTCGCTGAACTAACAGGTGGTTTTATAGCAAATTCTGGTTTAGAAAATACTTTCTTTTCAGCTGATTGAGTTGGTGATTGTGCATTTGTTTTTCTGCTTTCTTTTCCTGGAGTTTTAGATTCGGCATTGGTTGATAATTTCGAAATGTAACTCAAAGATGAATTCTGCTTTTCTTTTATTTCAGTTTCTGTTGTTTTTTCATTGGATAGTGATAGGGTTTTCTCAGCGGAATCTTTAACGCTTGGAGTGTCATGTTTGATTGACAACAAATTTGTTTTGGGACATTCGTTGAATCCAACATTGTTGGAAGCAACGTTAACAGTCACTGGATTTGCAGCTGATTTTGTAGCTGATTCTGGATCTTTAAACCTCGCATTTGACTGAGAGTGTTGAGCATTTGGTTTTGCAACTGGTCCTATTCTGTCAGAAGATGCTTCCTCTGAAGCGAATTGCGTTGCTGACCGAGCAGATGCTTTTGATGTCGCATCAGTTTGTAAAGATAAATCATCCTTACTGGCAATTCTCTTGGGTGTAAGTTGTGTTTCTGCATTCCAACTAGATTCTAACGGTTTAAAAGAATATTTGTTTTCGGTTGTCTTGGGTGGATATTCTGCTGTATTTAATGGTATTTGATTTTGAATCGATTTTTCGGCTGCATAAAAGCTTTGAGTGTCTACCTCTTCAGCTTGATCTGCTGGTTTTGCGGTCTGTTCTTCTGATTCTGAATCTACATTCTTTGAAACTTTTTCATCTTTTTTCTTTTTTGTAGGTTTTTCTGATTTTGATTGCATTTGATTTTCATCGAGTTGTTCGTCTGCAGAAATCGTTTCAGGGTCAACCTCTCCGGACTGAGATGTTGGATTCGTTGTCGGATTTCCTGCATTAGATTTAACTTTCCCTGAAACTGATTTCTTGGCTGACTGAGAGGCTGATACACCAGGTTGTGATGTTAATTTGTTTTTGTTTACTGAGGTAACTTTATTTGCATTGGATTCCTTATGGCTTGAATGTAAATTCATCATCGGCCCTGCCATAAATTCTTGTGATTGTAGTGGCATTTTTCTGATATTCTGTCAATAATCTGAAAAAATTAATATCGGTAAGAAAACTGATAAAACAATATTTATTGTATTTCACCGGAGGGCACCAGAGCTTCACATCACGTGTAACTTGTGTACGTACTGAGCTTAAATAATTTTAAGATGTGCTCAATGGCTAAATATTGAAACAATTTTACCATATTATACGTACTAAATAAAGTACTATATTGGTCACAAAGGCTAAAAATGAAAAGGAAGTATATATCAAATGTAACAAATGTAACATGCCTTTACCTGAAACTTATACTGGATTCTTAACTACATAAAATTTCTTGCAAACAAAGATACGCCGGTTATAGTATTTGTTCTTTACCAAAACTTCTTTCTTTACTACTAACTTAACTGTGAACAGCAGTATAGGAGAAACTTCAAAAGTATATGTAAGAAGTGGTGTAAGTCAGATGTGGGTATTTAAGAAAGAATTTTTAGATTTTTTGACAATTATAAATATATTTTAACCAAATGCTACACCTCAGTTTAACACTTCTGATGTTTTAGAGGTCAGTGTTTGCTCTGCTCCTATTTTGTATTGATTTATGGACTTTGATATTGAATACTATTCGTTATCTCCATCTCCTTCATCATAGCATCGAACCTACGAGATTTTAACATTTTATACAACCATTCCCTAAATTTACGATAAATTTAAGTTCAGGCATTTCAATTTGATATCGCAGACAGCTGTTGATGTTTTTTTTATTAAATAATAATGGCATAACAATGCACGACGTTCTAAAACGAGGCAAGCTATTGACAGACTATCTGATGAAAACTGGATATCAAAAGTCTCGTTTGAATCCATCATAATATGTTCAATACAATGACTTTGTCAGCAAATGCTATCTTTTATTAAGTCGAATGGAGACTGAATATTTTCATACTAATTGTGAGCTCATTATTTATACACTTACTTGTCTACACATATTTCTGTTTGCCCGATCATGACAGTGAGTACACCCTTCTAATTATGCTATGTTATTTTACTTTGTACAATTTGTATGTTAGTAATCATTTATTTCATAGAAAATTGTAAATAAAAACAGTGAATGGTTTTAAGTTGATAACATATGTAGCAGTGTTATATACAGAACATTGATAGAACTACTCTTATGATGTTTACAACTGCTACAGGTTTAAGTTTTATATGTTTTGTAAAATCTCAACTTGCAAGAGAAATTGTTTCTTTCATGTTCATGTTGACAATTTTTTCTCTTCAAATCTATTAAATGCAAATAATAATGCGAAAAAACTTTAAAGCTTTAAAACGTATAGAATAACTTGTTTCCGATGACAATATGTTGCCTCATGACAATATGTTGCCTCATTGACATGATTCAACACAACAGGTTATTCATTATCATATCGCATTCTGTTGTCAACGGATCAATAAGAAGTTTTATAACTTTCATTGTTTAATCATTTTCGGTTATTCAAATGCAAAGTCGAAAAAATCTTTATGTTAATGTTTTCTAACATTGTGGTGTTCGTTTTCAACTTGGTCTAGGTGAAATAAATAGTTGGCAGAACTATGTTACGTCACTTCAAGGGTGCAGGCTTGTGGAAGGGTTTTGTACTCTGTTTAGAATGAGAGTGGTGAAGATAACGAAGTAATCGATCCCAAAAATCCATAAAAAATCCATATATATTAAAAAGGCTTAAGAATAGGTGGTATCAGATGCCTAGGATATGAGCATATCCCATGTTGACCAGTCACACCCACCGTGAGCCCTTTGTATAAATAGATCACAGAGACGGAACACTTAGTTATCAAATTCAGTATAAAAAATCCCTAAGAATTATTGCCCGTCATGTTTTACTTCCTGTGTTTGAAATTCTTACGTAAATATATTATTCAAATATTATGTAGCGTAATAACGAACTAAAATCAATTTTTAACTACGTTCACTTTTTTTTGATTTTTCATATCGAATTCGTGAAAATAGGTTTAAATTTTATGACATATGTGAACCAGGAAATTTTAGTTCTAAACATTTAGATTATTCTATCACTTGATTCACAAATAATTTTACAAGTTCCTGACATCCTATGGATGTCAGTTATTCCTACTTAAAAAAAAACCCATCATAAGACGGATAAAGAAAGAAAAAATATCTTACCCCAACGAAAACTCGTTTAAGCCAATCGAAAAAGATGGCTGGTTGATTTCAGAGCAGGTTACAGACTCCTAATTTGACCCCGATTTCATTGACCAAGCAAATAGTGCAAGTTTAAAAACAGAGTGTTGTCTTTAAAATTTCTTAGGGGTTCAAATGGGTGAAATGGGGTTATTTTATGGCATCGATGGAAAGGAAAGGTTAAAATAAAATTGAAAACTGATGAGAATGGAAATTTTTTACTTGAAAGTGCGTATTAAGAAGGATGTAAAGAGGTCCTTTTTTTACCCTTTCCTCAATGGGTAGTACAACTTGCAGACTATGACTTTTCCCGAGAGCCTGGAAAGTTTATGGGGTTGAACTGTTCAGTGCTCTAAATCTGTGCCAAGTTTCAAGTAAATTGAGCCAGTGTGATTTTTAAAATATTTTTTTTTACATTATAAAGGAATACATGTATGTAGGAAAACAGTTAGTAGTATGTGTCCTATCAGGTCAGAGGTCAAACCAACTGATTGGTACTTTTTGGATAAATAAGAACTAATTATGCAAATTGTTGACAAATTTAATGAAATTGTTTTGAAACTTAAGATTTAATTTTAAAAAATGAAAATGTGGAGGAGGCACCTGCTTGTGTAGTGAACGAGTATGACGTTGATGTGTGTCAAGAATGTGCACATACCTTTGGCTAATGTAGAGTGATATTGTTGACAGCTTTATCGTGTTTTCTGAATGCTAATTTGTCTCTGCTACTGGTAAAATGAATTTGTTCACTACTGACTGACCATTGGTTTGAAATTTTAAAAACAAAAGAAGTCACCCATTGAAAGTGATCCTACCACATCAACTGAAATAAACCACTTAAAAAACTCTTTTTAAAATTACAGACATCAAATAACCAACGTTTTAAGAAATGATGCAATTCTCTCCTTCTAAGTGCAGTGAAATTGAACATAAAATGTTAGAAACATACCTATGTTTTTGTACTCAATTACAAATTTAGAATATCAGGATAGACGAGGAATGGCTAAACACATTAATACAGGGTCAAATTAATAATGCATGAATTCTTGACAAACATTAATTGCAGACACACAAGACTCGGGTTTTAAATAATCACAACTCACAAGATTAACTGTTAAATTTGTGAGTTGTGATTATTTAAAACCCGAGTCTTGTGTGTCTGAAGCTTGTTTCATCCTCTGATTTCATGTGTTCAAGAACATTATTGTATAGGACCATAACTGCTTTCGAATCATCAATGCCAAGGAAATTCATTAGCTACTTTTTGTTAATAATAGGTACCCGTATATTGAATTTCAACAAAATCTGACCTGACTTGGTCTTTATTAATTGTTGACAAATTTGATAGAAAATATTTTTGGAGAATTAAAATTTTATTTTTAAAAAAGGAAATGGGGAAATGGCACTGTTTGTATAGTGAACGAGTATGGCATAATTTCTGCAATTAATGTTTGTCAAGAATTCATGCATTATTAATTTGACCCTGTATTAATGTGTTTAGCCATTCCTCGTCTATCCTGATATTCTAAATTTGTAATTGAGTACAAAAACATAGGTATGTTTCTAACATTTTATGTTCAATTTCACTGCACTTAGAAGGAGAGAATTGCATCATTTCTTAAAACGTTGGTTATTTGATGTCTGTAATTTTAAAAAGAGTTTTTTAAGTGGTTTATTTCAGTTGATGTGGTAGGATCACTTTCAATGGGTAACTTCTTTTGTTTTTAAAATTTCAAACCAATGGTCAGTCAGTAGTGAACAAATTCATTTTACCAGTAGCAGAGACAAATTAGCATTCAGAAAACACGATATCACTCTACATTAGCCAAAGGTATATAATCAACTGTATATGAAGTTTGTACCATTTTGCTTTTTTCTGCTGTTTTCATCTATCACCATGATTTGTTGTTGTTCTACGTATGAACAATTTCTAAAACGAGGTAAATTATTGACAAACAAGTTGATGAAACAAGACTATCAGCAGTCTCGTTTAAAGTCATCATTTCGTAAGTTCTATGGTCGATACCATGACCTTGTCGGCAAATACAGTTTATCATTGAGTCAAATGCTGGCTGACGTTTTTCATGCTAATTGTTAATCCATTATTTATACACTGAATTGACGACGGATTTTTCCGTTATTTCCCGATCAGGACGAGGAGCAAACGGCGGATGTGACCGGTCGGCAGGGGATGCTCGCTCCTCCACGGCACCTGATCCCACCTCCGATGTTTTAGAGGTCTGTGTTTGCTCTGCTCCTATTTTGTATTGTTTTATGGATATAGAATACATATCCTTCATTGCTAAACTGCTGTGCAATCTTTAAGGTGTTTCTTTTGCTTTCAATTGTCTGATTTCTGGCACCGATTTGTGATTGTCCAAGACAGGGGAGGCCATTAAGGTGCTCAACATTTTATGTGAGATGTGTTGTCCTACTGACTTCTACTTTTGTAACATCTTGGACATCATAGTCTGTGTCGCATATCGGACAAAATCATCTTTTTGGACAAGGAAAGGTGTGCTCATTACCTGGCATGCATTTGCATTTGAAAAGAACTTCTGTTGCCCGTTTTTTCTTTGTTCTTAGTAGACAAATTCAAAGTAACTTCTGGAGTGATTATATTGGGGGGGGGGGACAAACATGGTATGTATTTTCTGAGTTGAACCACTGAAAGTTAATGAAATGATTTTTATTCATGTTCTGTTATTTTGTACATTTCTGTTGCAGAGTTGCCTCTTCTTGTTCTACAGCAACGTGAAGAATGTATTTACTTAAACACAGTTAAACATTAGTATGACATCATCTTTAATTTTGTTCTTTTGA